TCACCATCACCATCACCATCACCACCACCATCACCATCATCAGCATAATCATAATCATCATCATCATCATCATCATCATCATCATCATCATCATCATGATCATGATCATGATCATCATCATCATCATCATCATCATCACCACCATCATCATCATCATCATCATCATCATCACCATCATCACCATCATCACCATCACCATCACCATCACCATCACCATCACCATCACCATCACCATCACCATCGTCAAGACCACCACCATCATCGTCATCACCAGCATCATCAATATCAACATCAACATCATCATCCGCCTATTCCTCCTCCTCCTCATTCCTCCCTCCCCACCCTCATAATCCTCCTCCTCGTCCGCCTCCGAGACGTCCTCCATCCCCCCACCCTTGGGGTACGACGGCCTCCCCAGCCCCTTGTTCCTCTGTGTGCTGCCCCGCTTCCATGATCACCTCTGCTCGCCTGGGCGTCGTTTCTGGTTGGGCTGGCAGGGATACGCGAAGCGTCAAGAGTTGCTTCTTCGGGTCATGTTCACACCGTTACTGGTTCCTCTTGCGGGGACGGGCCCAGGGCGGCCCGAAGTCGGAGATGCCGGCCACGAGGATAGGGCCCAGGCTGGTACGAGGGCCAGCTCGCTCCCCTCCGCCCCCAACCTCCCATCCCCTCGGCTCGCGCGCGAGCGCGCGGAAGGGAAGCGGACGCGGAAGCTCACTGTGACCGGCCAGGGGCCGACCCACCAGGGGCGGAGAGCAGGGGCCGAAAGAGATGTTGTACAGTGGGGGCTCGGCCACCAGAATCCTCCGCAAGAAACCCAGCCCTGAAATCCGCGATTTGCGCAGTGAGAATTCACATTTGTCGATCGAGAATCGTCAAGACCTTATTTGGGGCCCATCGAAATCCAAGAAACCCAGGGCACCCTGGCAAAATCCAGCTGGATTCTTGGCACGCGCCCCCACCGTATATCGTCTGCCCACCAGCTTGTTTGGTGGAACACAAGCATCAACGCCACACCGCCGTTTGGGGGACCGGCCGCGTGCTGCTCGCTCTCTCCCTCGTTCTTGCCCGAGGGCCTGGCGTTCCGTGAACAACAACTGAAGGGGAACTGGAACACACAAATAAATTCACACAAATAAAAAGATCCCCCATATTTTCCCATATTTTCTGGGTTTTTGTCTTCCCCCCCACTTCCCATATTTTCCCATATTTTTGGGGGAATCGAGGATTAATTGTGTCTGTGTGTTTTTTCCCCTCCAGAACAACACCCTGCTGGGCTCCCCTCGGCGGCATCGTAGGTGAGAGGGGGGAGATCGCCATGGAACGGAGAGCCCCTCACCGGGAGATCGGTTTCGGTTTCAAGAGGGATGAACCCTGCTCTGGCTAGGTAGGGAGCCCACAAAGGACGTACGCGCCCAGCTATGTACATGAACACGGCCCCTCGATTCGCGAGACCGGCCGCGTTATACGAACATTTGTGCAATGCGTGCTCTCGAAACCAGCGTGGATTCATGTACATGTACGTCCTTCTTTCGCTCCTGACTAGGGCGCTGCCGGGCCAAAAGACCCCACCCCCATGGGCTGTCCGGTGGTGGCCAGGGGTGTCCCGCGTGTGTTCCGCGGGTGTCCCGCCAGTGTCACGTCGGTGTCCCGTCGAAGTCCCGTAGTGAGATCGGTAGTGAGATCGATTGTAGTATTGATAGTTAAATCGATTGTAAGATCGATGCTGAGATCGATGGTGAGATCGATAGTCAGATCGATAGTGATATCGATCGTGACGTTGATAGTAAGATCGATCGTGAGAGGGACGGTGAGATCGGGTGTGATCCTTCAAGTGAAATCGATATTGAGATCGACATCGAGATCGATCATGAGACCGATAGTGCGATCGATGGTGAGATCGGTTGAGTGAGGCGCTGGTTCCTCCCCCCACCCTCCTCATCACCCGAAAGGTGGTCGCATAGGCATCATTGATATCGCTTTTGGCCCCCCCAAAGGGGGGGAGGGGAGGATGCCGCGGGGGGGGGGGGGGGGACGCGAGGGGCCCCGCTGGCGAGGCAAGCAGGGAGGAGGGAGCGGAGAGGTGCGGGGAGCAGGCGAGCAGATTGCGGTGGAAGGCATACGGAGCACCCCCGGTCCAGACGGAGCACACGCCCACGCGGAGACCGAGCCCTCCGCGTGGACCTGCTCCGTGTGGGCTTCGGCTCCGGCGACGCACGGTGCTTCGCGTGACGCCCAGCCCGCGGGAGGGCGCGGATGTGGCCTCCTCAGCGGCCTCGCCGCACCGCGCCGCGCCGCCGCAGGCCTGTTCCGCGCGCCGGCGGGGAGCACAGCAGAGGGGACCGAAGGAGTGAGACGATGCTGCTGCCGATGGTGATGAGGATGAGGACGATGATGTACGGGAAGGGCCCGACCACAAGAAACCTGCCACGAGACGCCCAGCCCTGAGACCCCAGGACGTCCATCGATTTTCGGTGTGGGAGCGCCACGCTTCCCATCGCAAAACCAGCGAAACCCAAGAAACCCAGGGCAATCAGGGTGTCTCTTGGTTGGGGCCTCCACTGCAACGTTGATTTGGTGATGGTCTGATGCTGCCGCCGATGATGATGACGAGGATGCTCGAGGCTCCAGCGAGGCAGGCGGGGCCGAGGGTGCCGCTGCGATGGTAATTAGGGGTGGTCACGATGATGGCGGCGGGAGGGCAGGGCGCGGAAGGGGTCGAGGAGGATGTGCCCCGAGATGTTCGCTGTGGTTGACTTCTTGTGCTCGAAGGCTCCTGGATGTACTTCGGGGCTTGGGGGGGCGATCGGGGAACCTGTGATGCTCTTCCTGGCCATCGCTCGGACGTCCATTCCCTGTGTTTTTTGTCGGTTCCGTGCGTGTTTTTTTCGCCAAGTGATCGAGGATGCTCCTCGATGGTCCTCGCCGACTGAGAAATGCACACGTCCGAGCGATGCCAAGCTTCTGGAGGAACAGACGCTCAGCTGAAGAGGACGATATCCTCTGGTGGTCCCCGCCAACAGGAATGACCGTGGGGAGGGCCCCAGGGCTCGACGACATCACCGGGGGCGATGTAGAACGATGGGTATGGGCTGAGCCTACGGTCGGGGCGTTGACCTAAGGAACTCCAAAGAAGGAACGAGGTCCCCTTCTCTCGTAAGGTAAACTTCGATTCCCCACGGGCAACCTCGGGAACACCCAAGGCAAACTGTGAAGCAATCGAGGAACACCGAGCCCCTCCCCAGCGAAAAGGTTTCCTTCTTCAGCGCCCCGACTGTAAGATCGAATTATGGAATTTCATCGGGTTTCTCTGTATGTCGATCTCGACTTATCGTATGTCCCTTTGAGTTTCCTGTGGGCGCCGCAGCCCAGTAGTTTCTCTGGAGTGACCATCATGGGTAGCTATTATGATCTGCCCGTCCCTATTAGTATTCCACTTGTCACGGTTCTCTCAGATCCTGACGACTTGCATGCGCGTTTCGTTGTCATGCATGAGTTCATGTTGGTGGATGTATGATGAATCGCTGTATGTACCACCTTTCCATTGTATTTGAATACATCGTATGTTGCTACCCCTTTGTTGCAAGATGAGTTGCCATGATTTCGCCGCATTGGTTTCCAAACACAAGAGGCATTGTTGGCAGGGCGTAATTGAGATGGCTGTGCATGATGCTGCACGTATCGTTTATGTGGCATGCGTTGGTACGTGCTGTCCCGCAATTAGTCTGCATGCGTTCAATGCGTAATACTTTCATGTCTGCCATGACTTGCATGTATTGTTATACGGGTATCCCGTATTCGTGCACACTATCTCTGATGGTAGGAGAGGAGCCCCATATATGTTCTGTATAGTGTTAGCCAGCGTGGACCCGAAGCTGTATTGCCTTGCAGTCTATGCGGTGCAATCTACGCGGTGCAATCAATGTGGTGCATTCTATGTGGTGCAAAGCAATGCGTAGCAACGCAACGCGGCGCAGGTGGAATGCAAAACAATGAAACGCAATGCACAGCGATACAAAGCAATGCACAGCGATGCGCAGCAAGGTGAAGTAATGCGAAGCAATGCAAGGCTTGTGATGCAAAGCAATGCACAACAATGCAAAACAATGCAAAGCAATGCAAACCAATGCAATGCAACGCGATGCAAAACGCAAACAACCTTAGAAACGAAGTCTAGGTACAAGCACTGTTTGAAATCATTAACGTGATGCGCCCTTCGCGCACGCTTATACCGCAGGGGAGGGGCCACGCCCGAATGATCGGTGACGGCTTATTTCAAAATAAGCACGTTGGTTGATGAGATAACGATGATGCCATCTTGTTCCAGCACCTCCAGCAGCGTGACGGCAGCTGGGATAGCCTCAGTGTGCAGCGAGGTCGTCGATGACCGCTGTCGTCAGTTGGAGAATGAGCCCCTATTAGTTCCATATGCTGTGAAAGTGGCTAGCACTCTGTCACGAAAGGCTCGTTAGCACTGAGGAGATGCGGGGACAATAGAACATACTGCAGCACGCATATGTGTTCATCACTACAGGATCTGCGCGCTGGCAGTATAGCCCGGCTGAGCCACCTCCCAAAACACTTCAGTCAAATTGCGTGTGCCAGCATGTGCCGCGCGGCTTCCGCAGAGGTCATGTTGACAAGTGCACACACAGCGCCAGGTGGCCGAGCCGGAAGATCCTCGCCGTTTCCAACCTCTCCGATGAAGGTGTGGACGTGCAGCCAGTGCACGGAGATGGCACCGGGGAGGTGCACGCACTGCATCTCTGCCTCGACTCTCCCTGCGCCACCGACGCCGGCCTCCACGAAGACGCGCCGCCCGGCGTCCAGGAGCGCAGTGAGCAGGCCCTCTGCCTCTCCTCCCGGGCACTCTTCCACCATCGACACAATGGTCTCGTGGTAGGCAACGGGTATTGTCAACAGGTCCTGGTGGTCTTTCATCCGCCACCGTGCTCTGTGCACGCTGAGGCGTGGAGGAATACCAGGGGCTGTCTGGTGTGCGAGGCGGGGATTTAGCCATATCCACCGCCTGAGAACCGACGTCCCCATGCCCCCGCGGGCGGCGGATGTGGATATATATATATATATATACATATATATATATCCACATACATACATATAGATACATATACACATATATATATATATATAAAAATATGTACATATTATCGGCCCCAGGGGGCCCGAATGTCCAGACCCACCGCCTGCCGAGGCTCCGAAAACTCGTCCTCCAGGAGGGGGAGGAGGAGGAGGAGGAGGAGGAGGAGGAGGAGGAGGAGGAGGAGGAGGAGGAGGAGGAGGACGGGGTGGAGGAGGAGGAGGAGGACGAGGAAGAGAAGGAGGAGGAGGAGGAGGAGGGGGAGGAGGAGATCAGCCCGATCAGCGGGCGCTGCTGCGCCTTCCCGCCTCGGATGGTGGGGCTTCCGTCTTCTCGTCAGGCTACTCCCGGCCCTGGGCGTCGTGATCTCTGTATGTGCCGCCCCGCTCTCCCGAGGCCATGCCCCCTCGAGAGAGACAACGGATCAGCGCTCCCGAGGCCACGACCTCCCGTCAAAAAAACGACGGATCCGCGCGGCGAGCTTCCAGGACGGCCCATGTAGGCAACCCAGGACACCAAGAGGGCCCAGGAATGGACCAAGGGGGCCCTCGGGCGGCCCCAGGTGGCCTCCAGGTGGCCCGAGATGCCTCTAAGAGGGCCCCAAACGGCCACAAGAGGACCTCCTACAGGGTCAGAAGAAGCCGATGCCATTGATTTACCCATGTTGTTTGAATGATTCCCTCATTCTCGTCTTTTCGGGCTTCCATCAGCTCAAGGCGGCCCCAGATGCCTCCAGGATGGCCCCGAGACGGCCCACACGGCCCTCAAGAGGCCCCCAACCATCGTCCAAGAGGCCCCACGATGGCCCAAGAGGCATCCAAGACGGTCCCAAGACGGCCAAAGAAGGCGTCCCTTGGGACCCAAGGCGACCTTAGACGGCCTTTCGAGACGGCCCCACGATGGCACCCAGACATCCACCGTACGGCCCAAGAGAGCTCCCAAACGGCCCAAGAGAGCTCCAAGACAGCGTAAGAGGGCCCCCCAAAAGCCCAAGAGGGCTCTAAGGGACCCTCAAGACTGGCTGAGAGGAGGACAGCCAAAACGAGTTCCATGAGAATTACTCAATTTACAGAAGATGAAAGGTAGCGTATGTGCCAGCCTTCCTCGTCCTCCTTCTCCTCCTTCTCCTCCTGCTCCTCCTCCTGTTCCTCCACCTCCTCGTCGTCACCATGATCAGTACCATCATCATTATCGAAGTGCGACCCTACCTAGGAGTTGGAGCCCCCTAGGAAAGCAGCATTAGTAGTAACAGTAAAGCTGAGCTAACGCTAAGCTAAAGCTAAGCTAAAACTAAGCTAAAGCGAAGCTAGAGCGAAGCTAAAGCGAAGCTAAAGCTAACCTAAAGCTAAGCTGAAGCTAAGCTGAAGCTACGATAAAGCTAAGCTAAAGCTACATCTAAAATAAAGCTAAGCCAAACCTAAGCTAAAGCTAAGCTAAAGCTAAGCTAAAACTAAGCTAAAGCGAAGCTAGAGCGAAGCTAAAGCGAAGCTAACGCTAAGCCAAGGCTAAAGCTGAGGTAAATCTGAGGTAACGCTGAGGTAAAGCTGAGGTAAAGCTGAGGTAAAGCTAAGCTAAAGCTAAGCCAACGCCAAGCTAAAGCTAAGCTAAAGCTAAACTAAAGCTAAGCTACAGCTAAGCGACAACTAAGCTAAAGCTAAGCTACCGCTAAGCTAAAGCTAAGCTATAGCTAAGCTATAGCTGAGCTAAAGCTAAGCTAAAGCTAAGCTAAAGCTAAGCTAAAGCTAAGCTAAGCTAAGCGAAGCTAATATGAGATAAACTAAGCTAAGCTAAGCTAGGCTAGGCAAAGCTAGGCTAAGCTAAGCTAAGCTAAGATGAGATAAGCTAAGCTGAGATGAGATAAGCTAAGCTAAGCTTAGCTAAGCTTAGCTAAGCGGGCGGATGCTGCAGGGGCGGATCCTGGGGGAACCGCGGGGCGGATGCCGGGGGAACCGCCCGGGGCGGGTTGCACTGCCCGGCCCCTTAAGCAAACAGGGTAAGAACCCTTCTAGGCAGAGCCTAGGTAGGGAATTATCAACATCATCAGCATCATCAGCATTATCCTAAGCAGCATCATCATCATCATCATCATCATCATCATCATCATCATCAGCAGTATCATCACAGTCCTCATCATCCACATCATCATCCTTGCTTTCAGCCTAAATATCATCATCAGCAGCACCAGCATCATCATTATCATCGTCATCATAATCATCCTCGTTACCCAACATTTTCATCATCATTGTCATCACCATCATGAGCACCATCATCACCATCATAATCGTAATCTTCAGCATCACCATCGTCATCGTAATCCTTATCGTCGTCACCACAATAATCCTCACCTTCATTCTCATCATCGTCCGCATCCTCAATGTTATCCTCAGCGTCCTAATCATTATTATCATCACCATCATCATCAACAGCATCAGCATCCACATCATCAACATCGGCATTCTCACCGCCACCATCATCAACATCCTCATTACCATCAGTCCCGTCAACGCCGATCTCAACATCAACGTCATCATAATCACTATGATACGCATCACCACCGTCACAAGCATCATCACCACCACCACCGCCCTCATCATCATCATCATCATCATCATCATCATCATCATCATCATCATCATCATCATCATCATCATCATCATTCTCATCATCATCAGCATCATCATCATCATCAGAATCAACATCTTCATCATCATCATCATCATCAGCATCAGCATCATCATCATCATCATCATCATCATCATCATCATCATCATCATCATCTCATCATCGTCATCATGAGAGGTGTCGTCCTGACACCGTCAGGACCCCACATTTTCAATGGCAGAGTGCTTCACGCTACACACGCAATCGGAGTCCACCAGAGATTGGCAACTCTAATCTGTCTCAAATGTGGATTTTACGTAAAAGGGTGCGAGGAATGAATCATTGTGAGGGTGAGCCTACAGTGCATGGCAAGCGAGCCCTCAAACGATTGCAACATGGCAAAGTGCCCGAAGTGGAGTCCAAGGAGACAGAGAGGATTCTAGCCAGTTGCTAACTAATCTGTAGGCCAAAGGCTGGAAACAGAAACAAACATCATCATCATCATCATCATCATCATCATCATCATCATCATCATCATCATCATCATCATCATCAGCATCATCATCATGCTCATATTCACATTCATCATCATCATCATCATCATCATCATCATCATCATCATCATCATCATCACCATCATCATCGACATCAGCATCATCATCAGCAGCAGCAGCAACGAGTTCATCACGGCTCTCCCACCCTCGAACAGTCAATACCGAGAATGCTGGGCTGGCACGGTGACGGGACTTGCCGCAGCCAGCTGGATATTGTAGAACGTTGCTGCGGTGCCCGTGAGCTCCAACGCCACCCTGTCTTGGCAGGACTCGCGCTGGCACTGCTCAAGCGACCTCTCCCCACAGTTCCAGAGGCCCAAGCAGTGGCCAGTGAACAAGCAGAAGCATCTCTCACCCTCCCCTCGTTCAGCGGCAGCTGCTTCGCCAGATACACCGCCACAGCTGCCCAACATGCGCACTGTGACAGGCCGGGTGCCAGAGCGTCTTCGTCCCAGGCCTCCCCACACCGCTGCTGCAAGCGCAAACGCCGCCACGACTGCCAGCGAAACAGCTGCCAGAGCCAGAGCAGGCACTCTGCGCCGCGCGGGGAAAGATTCATCGTCCGCACTTGCCGCTCGTGGCGTCTCCATGGCGCTCCACGAAGCTGCGCTGCTAGATTGAGCGGCCACCCTCCGCATGTCTGATTCCGCACTGTCTATACCCAACAATCCGCGGTCCATGGGGCAACAAGCCAGCAATGATATTGAAAGCAATCTACCCAGGCAAAACGGCGTGGCAACTCGACACTTGGGCCAAAATGGCTACGTACGATGCCAATAATGATAATGCTGATGTTGATTATGGTGATGGCGGTCTGATATGATGTTGGCGTCATCATCCCCGCCAACAACATCACCATCAAATACCAATACTCGTCACTATCACCATCACCATCACCATTGCCACTCACTGGTGTCTGATTCTCGTTATCGCCAGAGTCAAAAGATCAGCATCATCATACTAATCATCATCTCCACTCCCTCCCTCTCTCGCGGTCAGTGAGGCTTCCAGGGCACCTGCCCGCGACGAGCGCACGTCTCTTTCGTCATCTCGAGTCAGCTGCATGCAGCTCCAGGAGCCTCCTGAGGCCACTGGAGGCGGCCAAGTATCGAGGAAAAGGGCCTAGCAGGGGCGGAAACCAGCCGCATGCAGCAATTTGTGCAGCCTCCCCTTTCCCACATGGAGGCCGCCCAAATGGCGTCCGAGTGGATGGGGTTGGAGGTTTGCGACGCATCACGGACGCATCGCCGATGCATCGGCGACGTCGGCAACGCACCGGCGACGTCGGCGTGGGGGAAATCGGGATCCACAGCGGCCCGCGTCGCGAAGCGATCCATCGAAACCCACCTACGGCAAGTTCCTATCGCGACGACCCTGGCGTTGGTTTCTGATCTGGGCGCCCGGAAAGGGTAAGGGAAAAATGGGTACGATGTCTAACGACACATGTTGTCCAAACCGACAGTGGCCGCTGTTGGACAGGCTGCTGTCTGTCCCAACTGGATATCGTCCACGGCGTCACCGACAACGATTCCTGTTCAAATGCAACCGGATAGTGTGGTCGGTCTTTGTACCGATTCGCTCCGTTGCCCTGGCGCGCTCCGCGCGCCAGAAATGGGGGGGCCAGCGCCGATCCAGGAAATCCGCGCGCGGCCCCCAAAACGTAAAAGTTAGGCCGCTCTTTGTTCTTCGATTCCGGAAGGTGAACACGACGACGACGATGGCGACGCTGACTACGACCACGACGACAACGACGAGACGGCGACCATGACGATGACGGCGGCGACGACGACGCCTACGCCGACGCCGACGCCGACCGCTGACACTGACGCCGACGCCGAAGTTGACGCCGCCGGCGCCGCGACGCCGCCGACGCCGCCGCCGCCGACGCCGACGCCGACGCCGACACCGACGCAGACGCCGACCATGCCAACGACGACGACGACGCCGATGACGACGACGACGACGACGCCTGCGAGAGGCGTCCGCTTCATTGGGTGCCGCCGCGGCGCCGAACGCGCCGTCGCGCGCGCGGCTGCGCGCGCCGAGCGGGCGCGGCGCCGAGCTCGCGGGGCGCGCCGCCGCGGCCCCGGCGAGTGCCCACTCGACGCGGGGCCGGAGAGCGAAGCAGAGAGATTGGGAGAGAAAAACAAATCACGATGGTGATTGTGATGCTGCCGATGAAGAGGATGACGATGATGTCCATGCTGAGAATGATCATGATGATGATGACGATGATGATGATGATGATGATAACGGTGATGATGAAAAAGGAGGAAAAGAATAAGTAGGAGTCGGAAGCCTCGGCAGATCGGTGACTTTTGTCTCGCGCGTGGGCGCGGCTCGACTGGAATTTCGAACCTGCAACTGCTGGCTGTATAGTTCGGCTTGACGGAGGGATGCCTGCGGGACCCACGGCGTATTGACCCTCTCGGGCCCACTTCGATGCTGGGCCGAGACTCAGAAGTTAGGTGCCTGGAGCGGGCGAAGGTTATCGCACTCGGCGCATTCCCTCGCGCCGGGGTGAGGCCCAAGGTGTGTCTACCTTGATTCCTCGGTGCTTAAGGGCAGCTGCTTGCGCCCATCCGTCCCCGACCTCCGCCACAGCATCCCGCGCTCCAACCGCGGTCGGTGCTGAAGGTCGCCTACTGCAGATACAGGCGTACCTACACGTGCAGGAGGGCCCCAAGTGCCTCCAGAGAAGAAACAAAGACGGGCGCAAGAGCACCCCGGGACACCAAGCCTGGAGCCAGGGAGGAGAGGCGGAGCGGGCGAGGCACGGACCAGGTCCTGGGACCTGGGGCGCCCAGCGGGGGGGCGACGAGAGCGGGCGCCGGCGAGGCCTGCATCCTATACAAGAGAAGCCCAAGGAAGATTGTCAAACCATGCGCTGCGGTGCGCGGCTGTCTGCTGGGCCTCCTGGCCCGTCCTAGGTTGAAGCGGCGGGGCTGCGCGCAAGAGAGGTCGGGCGCCCTCGCCCTCCCCCCCGCGCCCGCTCCACTGTCATTCAGCGCCTAGGCGGCGCAGCAATTCGGCGGCCCTCGCGCTTCCGAGTTGGGCCTGCCGGTCGAGGCCCTCGACGTCCACCCCGTGGCCTGGCGCAGCCCGACGCGCTTCTGGACCTGTCTCTCGAGTGCTGACGGAAGCTGGGCGCCCGCGATTGCAACTCCTCCTCTGGCTCGCATGGGCGCGTGGATCATCGCCCTGATCTGCGGGGCGCCGATCGGGTCGAGCATGATGGGCCCCAGCTCGCTGCCTTCGCGGCCCTTGTCGATATCGGCCCCCAGCTGCTTGAACGGCTCTCGCCGAGCGAGTTGAACGCGATGTGCACCTTCCATCGCTCTCTCTGCCCTGCTACTGCATCTGCTTTCATCGCCCCCGTGTGCCTGGCCAGGCCCGCCAGCTGATCGTGGCTCATGATGTCCATCAGCACGCACGAACTTCTGAATGTTCTCCAGGGTGCTCTGCGGGACGTCTGCCGCGATGCCCGGCGCCGCCAGGTAGTCCGCTGCCGCGTCTACACCGGGGTTCACGGGGTCCCTCTCTCCGCTCTGGCCCCTCCCCGCCTACTTGGCGCCCGCGTTGAAGCCTGCGAGGGCCGCCTCGTGATCTGAATATTCCGCGAGGGCGAAGCCCCGCAGGCCGCCCGCGAAGGCCCTGCGCATCTGGGCGCTGCTCAGCGAGAGCTGCTCCACGGCGAGCATGTCCTCTGCGCTCGCCTCGGAGCCGACGTACTTGCCATCCTGCTGCTTCTGGTCGCCGCGAGGGTGCTTCTTCGGCGGCGGTGTTCCGCCTAAATGTGTTCGCGTAGCTCGGCGTGCTCGATTGCGCAGTGGCCGCGCTGGTAGGATGGCGATTCAATGGGCCGAAAGGCGAATGGCATGGGGCGGGCGGCTCATGCACGCGATGCGCGTCTGTTCATGGCAATGCAACCCCATAGACATGAGTCCTGTGGCGCGAACGCTGCGCGGCACCATGGCCATGCGCTCGTGGCGACGAGCATGGAACGCATGCTGCGCGCGCGGCGCGCGTGCGCGACGTGCGCCGCGAGGCCCTCGTACGTCTGCAACGCGCCCCCGCGCGGCGCCCCGCCCTCCAGCTCGCGCGCGCGCGCCCGCTCGTCGAGGACTGTGCCGCGCTCGCTCTTCGCGCCGCCCCGCGCCGCCAAACGGCCGAACGCGCGCGCCATGCGAGGCGCGTCGCTGGAGGCGGCGGCCCTGCGGGCAGACGGGCGCCCCGCTCCAGCCCGC